AAATATTGATTTGATTTAGATTTTTCTTCTGTTCGCTCACTTTGCATTTTGTAAATTGATAAACATAAACAATTATTGAACTAGAAAAGTGATTTGGATAACTTTTTCTTACTGGATTTATGAAAGAGCTTTGTTAAGGTTTTGAAGGATTTTTATGAGAAGCGACAAAAAAAAAAAGGACAAATTTTACTTATTGGATGTACAAAAGAAATCTTTTAAAGTTTTGGGGAAAAAATTGGCTTAAAAAAATGAACAGAAAACAAGCTCTGAGGCTATTTTGAAGGGGTTGAAAAATAAGATTTTTTAAAAATCAGGGAAGGAATACAATGTTGCCTTATTTGATCAGGGCTAAAATAGAAAATTAGTCATATCTGGTTTCCCTTACTGGACTTTTGCTGACAAAGAATGAATGACAAGGCTTTTGGACTTTGCTTTTTAGTTAACAGATGAGTTACGGGATGAAGAGAGTTTATGTTGTATTTAGAGATGGTGATAATCTACTAAAATTGTTTTTACTTGCTGGGATGAAGGGGGAAGTTACTTCTTGTTTTCCTTTTCCTCCCCCCCCCTTTTTTTCTTTTTTACACTTTTTTTAAAAATATTTTTTCTTTTTATATTTTTTGTAGTTTGTAATAGCTTTTATTCTTTCCATTTGTAATTCTTAGTAAAATTATTTGAAAAAAAAAATTAGATAAGATTAGTCTGACAAGCCTAATTCTTCACATGTTAACTTCAGGTAGCCACTGGATTGTTTTCAAGATGCTTATTGATTTGTGTTCTAGAATCTTTCCATATATTGATGCCAGTCTAACTGGTCCGTTGTCCTGATTCTCTTCCTATCAGATAGGGACTACATTGACTCTCCTCCAATCATCTGATACTTTATCTATTTTCCAGTGCTTCTTCTCAAAAATAATGACTACAGGTACAGCCAGAACATTTGCAAGTTCCTTAAATATCCTTGTATTCAAAGATCTATCTGGTCTGAACTCATTCAAGATCAGCAATGATCTAGTCCTTGAATTAGATGAAAGTTAGAGGGTTCATGCTTGAGAGTTCTGTGGGAGAATCAACTCTTCCAACACAGAAACAAATCTGTTTTAAAGAGGAGGTACCATGAGTTATCTCTTGTTCTACCTTCTATATATATTCTCAAACTTTCACTAAACTTTTCGGCAAACACATTAATTCTGCTGTTTTCTATTTTCTGTAGTCAGTAGTCCATTCCATTTCTAGACCTTTTCTATTGCTCCCAAGTTCTTCTGCTTTCTTCTTTGGGTTTCAAAATCCAAAGTGATATCAAGGTGGGAGCTGATCTTGGCAATATCATTTGTTTCCCCATAGATTAAGATAGAAAGGATACCTAACAATGTGGAATACCACTGTAATGGCTTTTTAAATCCTTTATGCATTGACAAGTGTTAGAACAATGGATTACTGTATTGTAATAGAGTATTAACAACTACATTACTATTATTGCTAACAGTGAGATGTTAACAGTGGTCAAGTCAAGTTCAGAGATCCAGGAGATAAAAAGTGAGAGATTACTTGTGCTAATATACAGATGTCACCAAAGTTGTTCTAGCAGGGCATCAGCTCTTTAAGTAGCCTTGAACATTCTAGCCCTATTTCCTTCCCACAGAGGGGCAGCTGAACATCTGCAGCTTTGATATTGCTGGAATCCAATCCTGCAAGACTTCATCTGGGATCCTAAACCTTCCCTGGTGAGTATCTCTTCCTTGGCTTTGCCAGTCTCTCTGACTCTCCACTCAGTGCTTCTTGCATTGTCAGAAACTGGAAGACCTTGCCTCCCATTCTAGATCCAGATCCTCAGAGTCAGAGTCAGGAGCAATGGAATCTATATCCAGATTTCCAGAACTAGTATCTGGCTCTTCTGCATCAAAAATGCTAGATTCCTCAGCCTGGTCCTCCTCTGAGGAAGAAGATATGTGTGGCAGGGCCCCGGCAATAACAGTGCTTATCCCGAAAGGGAGTAACACTATGGGCATGTATAAACTGTATACATGCTGGCTGTGTTTACCCAACTTATTTATCCATGGTTAACAGTTTGTTTTGGAAGGGGTTCAAATCTTTCCTGAAGAAGTAGTTTCACAGCATGGGTGTGGTTCTTGATCTTCAATTATTACTGGATTCACAGGAGACACCTATGGCAAGGAAGAGTTTTGCACAGTTGCAGCTAGTACTGTACACCAGTTGCAAATATTCTTAAACTGATCAGATATCCATCTCTTGGTGACTTTCAGCTGATTATTGTGATTAATATCATATGGGATTAACCGTTTACTATTTACTACTGTGATTATCTTTATATGGGACTGTTTACCATGAATTACATTTAAATAGTTGGTGTTAGTCTTTAAATGCATAACAGTTTAAGGTCTGTTTGAGGTATTGCCTCGCCTGTTACAAACAAGCCCACCTGTTAGGGTGAGATCCTTCTGAAGATGCTGTTGATGTCAGAAGCTAGTTGATCTGAAACCTAAGAGGAGCATCTGGCACACACCCAGACTATGGAATGCACTTCTTTGGGAATGCTTGTCACACCCATCTTCTCTTCTTTGGGAGCACAATCAAGATGCATCTCTTTTCCTTGGGTCTTAATAGTTTATTGATGTCTGCAGTATTTTTAACTTATATTGTGAATGTTTACTTTTGTACTGCATTCTATTTGCTCTCAGTTGCTTTGAGTAATAAAACTGGGTAAAAAGGCAGGCAATAAACAATAAAATTATTTCTACCACTGACCCAATTCATTAGAGTCATGTGATACTATGAATCATACACTAAACATATGGGCTGGGTTTGCAAAGACAGTAAGAACAAAGATGAGTTAATTCATGATTCCATGCCTAGTATGAGCATATTCTCTGCATTCTCCCATAGACTCATGCATAGCTTTTGGATAACACTAGAGGGCCCACTTTTTATTCCATCACGTAAAGAGGCTTGGTTGATGAGAATCTGAGATATGGGCTTTTTCATGTCAGCACAGAAGATAGTGTGATCATACACTATCTCAATGGTGATGCCTTATGCCTTGACATGATTCTAACTTTAAGGCCACATCATGCATTGTAATTTTGATAGGCTGCTTTTAATAAAAGAAAATAGGAATGCAAAAATACATGTCTACAGTGTCATGAGAATGAGTATCCTTAAGCATTCAGTCATGAGGATGTATTAGATAGTCCCACCACCAAAACCATCCTCCCCACCATTCTTTACTGACAGATTCATATATGTATTCCTGCCAACTTTATGTTGAGTGTACATAATAATAGATTTCAGAGCCAGTTCAGTACAGTAGTTAAGGGCACTAGGCTAGAAACCAGCGTTCTAGTCCAGCCTTAGCCACAAAGGCAGCTGGGTCACTTTGGGCCAGTCCTGCTCTTGCAGCCCTAGGAAGGAGGCAATGGCAAATCCTTTCTGAAAAGCTTGCCAAGAAAACTGCAGGGACTTGTCCATGTAGCTGCGAGGTATCAAGTTTGTCTTGAAGGAACCCCCCCCCCCCAAAAAAGATGAAATCAGCTCCCCCATACAATGGCCAACCACAAACTTCTTTAAGAAGTGTCATACTAGGAACATCTCATTTCTGTCATCTTGATCGTCACTCCAGGCTTTATGGCTTATGCCAAAGGCTGCACTTCTGGATAGAGGCCAGAATTTTATTTCTAATTGATGTGATTTATTTTACTATACTATTATTTGTAGTATAAAATAAGATATTTAATTTTGCTATTATGTAATAACAACATTACCAGAACAAACAAAACCCTATGCAGTTTATTTTCTGTCTGCGGAGGATGTTATTGACCATTTAACCTCAGATCATCCAATACAGATGTGTGTGTATATGCGTTCATATATTTCAGAAGTGTTAAAAGACTCTTAGTGGACTGATTTCCCACGTTTTAAAGAACACAGAAGTTACAATGTAAAAATGTCCACACAGATTCATGCTATTTCTGTGTTCTTTGCACTATTAAGGATGTAACCCCCTCTATGCTCACCCACTTACCTATTAAATACAATTGCTTCTGAAGAAGGACAGGCAGTATTCCACCAATAAACATCTAAACAGAGACTTGGCAGGATATTTCCACCAGAGGGGTTGTCAAAAAAGTCAAAATATTGGCCATCATCTTCACCTGTAGACTCTCCTGAGACTTAGAATCATCTTGCATATCCATTAAGAATGAAAATTCAGGGACTCACCTCTACAGTGTCTGCATGATATAAGACCACATGAGGGAATGGTCCTATCCAAAGCTTTAGCAATGGTATACAGCGAAATTCCTCCGAATACTGAATTATCTGTTTAAAGAAACCTGGAAAACATAGATCTGGTTTACAAATGAGAAGTTTACTGCTGACATTTATTATGGATAAAACATTTACATTTATTCTGATAAGACTTTTTGATCCTCAGAAGACAAAGGCAACATTTTTAGGGTTATATAAGGGTACTTTTCTTAAAAATCTTATCTTATTGGCTTAGCTAACTCAAACAAAACCACCCTGAAGTATCTTCTTTCCTATTCTCCAAACATATCCCTTTATCTTAATGCACTTTGTTTTGCAAGATGTTCACTTACAAATTGCTGTAATCTTTATTTCATAACAACTGTGTTTTAATGACATTCTTAAGCATGGTTAACTTAGCCATGGTTTCCGTGATTCACTGAATCTCAATTTGAAAAGTATTTACAACAATGCTGTAGGGCTGTACTTGGGTAAAGCCGTATGGAACATAGAGGATTTGTCTGAAACTGATGGAATTGCTTAGAATAAATAACCTTGCAATTTTTACTTTGCCTTGCAGATTGCATTCAGAGAGAAGCACACCACCCAACACAAACTATGGTTCCAAGTTAAACTGTTTCTTTAGGTTGGAGTGCTTTTAAGAGAAAGCTTGCAATTAACTGTGTACTGTAATGTAGTCCATTATTAATATTATCAATCAGAATTGAAAATGGTTTGGATTTCCAATCAAAAATAATTTTCATGAATTTTTATTGCAAAACAGACCTACTTGTACAACAGTGTGAAACACAGCTACATAGCTGGCAGCATGTCTTATTCAGGTGTTTTGTGATCCCACTAAGTGAACTAAAGAAGGGCAGCTAAAACTGCTTCTTGTGTACTTCTCATCCTGTGGTTTAAATTTTGTCACTAATTGTTTTCACTGAGTTTTCAACGTAAGACACCTTGAGTCCTGGCAATGATAGAAGTTTAAGAAATACTTAGATTTATCCAAACACCTGTACTTGGGTGTTCCAATAAATCTATTCATCTGGGTTGGTAAGTAATTATTTTTTAAGATTGTAATCTAGGAAATAATGTATATAATAATATAATCTGGGGAAATAATCTCACTAAGAGCTGATTTTCTTTTTGTTGTCTTTCTTTGCTGAACAGGAATCTTTCCTTCCTTCATCTTTTTCTCACTTGTTTTCTACTTCTCTTCTCTCTCCTTGTCTGGCACAGCCAGCCCTTCCTTCCTTCCTTCCTTCCTTCCTTCCTTCCTTCCTTCCTTCCTTCCTAAATGGGGAAGAAACCCCTCTATGGAGCATATGGTGGCTCTTACCCTTAGCCATCATGGATTTTATTTTTTATTTTTTAAAAGGGAGGGCAGGAAGTGATGGCTTGCTGGCTGGCTAATTACAAAGCAGGCTGAGATGCTGTCTAAAGTAGATCCTTTCTAGCAAACCAGGCCTTGCTCTGATTTGCATCAGTTACATAAGCCATGTTCATGATTCAGGACAGACATTGATACGCATGTCATGAAAAATTGGGCATATAAAGGTGTCATCATCTACTGAGGCATTGTTAAATAATATACTTCAAGAGAAATCTGAATACTTTATTCCACTAATTAAGTAAACTGGCTTCAAAAGTTTAAGTTAAATTCTAGCTTTAAAAAGGCAAGGTCCTTGATCCTGATACCTATTGCCCTACTGGTCTCCAAGAAACATTAGTAACCCAAATGCAAAGTGTTTACATGTTAAGCTGCAAGCCTGGCTAGGGGCTGGTAATATCTAAAGAGAGGAATGAGGAATCTTAGGAGACACAACCCACTTTATATCAACACTTGTTGGGAAAATATACAAGCCAGCCAAGGTCAGCTTTATTTGCACCTTTTATTGAATTTAAAGCACTCTTTGATTTCATTTCTAGCATTAGATTGTGGCATAAATTGAACAGATCTGTTGATCTACATTTACTAGTGCTTATACAAAAGTTATATAATAATACATCTTTTCCTGTAAGAAGTAATCCCCTAGATCTGTTAATGACCCAATACAAACCTATAAAGGGTGAAACGAGGCTGGCTCCTGGCTCCTGACCAATTTTTATATGAATAAAAATTCATATAATAATTCTGCATGATTCTGATTTCCACTTACCCAAGTTAGCAGATCAGCACATTTCTATTCTGTTATACCCTGATGACTCAATACTGCTGTCAAAAACTGCTACACTGATGAGAAAGGCTTAAGCGCCCTGGCCTCCTCTTGTAGGCAAGAATGTTTTTCTGTCAGTCCTACAAAGTAGACCAGGCTAGAAAATCAACCCTACAGGAAGACTAGAACTACATTTTATTGAGATATTGAGATAGCTTATAATAACAGAATCTTGCAAGTCTGATTGTGCTCAACCTCCCTCCTTCATATATCCCAGTGAATCAGGAAGGCATTCGCCTGAGTCACTTCTGAATATTATCTTGCTTCCCAGAACTTGAAGAATGTTTCACCCCTCTCTGCCCAGGTAATGGTTCCTGCATACTTCTGTCAAGGATCTCCCTTACCCCCCACATTACCAATTATAGTAAGACCAAGGTCATGATGTCTTCCAAAAGACAATGTAAACATGAAAAAAGTGAACCAGACAGACCAAGTAAACAGTATACATATAACTATCTTGCAGTTATCTTTAGTGCCTTAGGTTCTTGAGGCAGCCACCTAGACTACGCTGCTGAAAATGCATAGAGAACCACTTCAATCACCTGCAGACATTTCTACTCAGGAAGGGAAGAATTCATCCCAGCTGCTATAAAATTCTTTCAGGCCAAAGCCCTTCCCCCGCTCCTTTATGGGGCCCAGATTTGGTCTTTCCATAGCCTGTGCTCAACTGGATAGAATTCAGTCCAAGTTTTTATGAATGTCCTTCTGTGTTGCAAATTATGGCCCTGGTGCAGCTTTATGTTTAGAACCCAGTCTGATTAAGTTGGAACTAGGGCTTAGTGCTCAAGAATTAAGTTATGGTTGAATTGTGTTTCCTTCCTGCAGGTTTAGCGCCTTTGATATTACATGACACTTTCCGCAGTAAATGGCTAAGGCAAAACGAAGCAAAACTACCAGCTGAAGTCTGGCTCTCTCACTTTTCCTCTCTCTTGGATGCAACAATGCCCCTGTTACTGTAAAACAAACTGACAGACTTGAGACTTCTTTCCAATTATTTTTTTTTTCCTGGAGGAATTGGGAATGTCATTCAATCAACTAAATATTTATTTTTCATATCAATTCCAAAGTTCCATAAAACTTTCTCATTAATGTGTCTCAATATACGCCCTACATCTGTGCCACAGAGAAGTTTGAATGATATACCTTAAAATGAATGCTGGGGTCCTTGTGGCTCCAAGAAGGTAGAGACACTATACTGTACAATGGCTATACCATGTATGTGGACCAAAATCATTATCCTCTCTTTATGAACAGAGCTAGAAAATCAGATTTCTCTTTCCTGACTCTGCTGCTAGAAACTAGGTTTGGTGCCACAGTCTGCAAAACTAGACTAAAGGTTAATACAGGAACATTATTACAATCTGGCTGGCTGGGGAATTCTGGGAGTTGAAGTCCACCGATCTTAAAGTTGCTGAGGTTGAGGAACCCTGCTGTAACTGACTGATGTGGATATATGATTTAGGAAAATGGGAAATGTTATTTGTTTAGCATTTATCTGTAAGGTGTTTTTTTTTGTATCTCTTACTCCTTTTTACAGTGTATATTGTTGATGTATATACTTCTATGTATACCCATAAAATGGAAGTGCTTATCCATTTTATGATGCTGGTTTATAACCTAATAAATGTTACTAATTAACTAAGTAAGTAAGTAGATTCTAGGACCCCTGATGCAGATGTGGAGTTGGTGCTATGGCTAGAAATAACCTTCCTGCCCTGAGCTTGGCTTCTACTAATATTTCTTTGTAGTCCAACAAACCACTCTCCTGTACTGCTATAAAGATTTCTGGGGAAGTGCAGGTCGCTTTTGTAATTGTCTTCTAAGGCCATCAATTCTTAGAGAAAGGCAAGCTTTCCTTGACTGCAGAGACTCGGGGCAGAACCACCTCTTACACTGGCTGCAGTAACCTGCAACTGGTTTCACGGCTTGAAGTTCCTGTTCCCCGATGCAGCAGGCAGACAAAATCACTTGCCACGTGGAAAGCATAAGTGGTAGAAAATAAAAAGAGTCCTTGTCTGGGTCAGTGGCTTTTTAGTTTCAACATATACCCATCTAGTTGGACTTTTCTACTCCCATCTGTAAATTAGCCTGATTTTTGAGTTTAAAGAATGATGGAAAGTGCACAATGGAACAGTTGTCATCACTTTCCTTCAGTGATCAAAGCAGACGGATTCTCAAGCTCTCAGGACAGCGATGTTGAATCTGAGAGGCGCAGACATAGAATGGGAGCGTCTCTGTATGCTGCCTTTTAGGTTAAGTTATCTCCTGATATGCAAAATAATTTACAATGAAAGACATACATCGTTCAGACGATTAGTCCCCGACTTCTAGTTTTACGCGTTCGTGCACTCTGCATTTTCTCTCCCTTCTCCTACCCTAACATCTTTCAAGCCTCCCGCTTGTGTAGCAAGCGCCCTCCCTTCCCCAGCACCCCGGTGCCAGCAGCTTAACGGAATGAGCTGCGCCGCGTCGGGGAAGACGAGCGCCCGAGGTCGCCGCCGCGCGCAGAAGACAGCGCTCGCCTGCCCGCTCGCCCTTTGGCAGAAGCGGGCGGGGAGGTCTTTACCTTCGCCGGTTCTGTCCACGATCAGGGCGTGGCCCAGAATCGGATACCAGGGTCTGAGCTCCGGAATGGCCTCTATCTCCTTCCATTTCCGATAGTTTTGGAACATCAAGTAGAAGACGGCGGTCAACAGAGTTACGACCGAGGCAGCCGCAGCAGCGCACCCGTAGAAAAACGCATCGCTGTCCAGAGCCATCCGGTAATCAAACGGCCACCCTGGCCACGCTCTAGAAAGCGGGTTGCTTTGCCGAAGGGCGGTGGAAGGTAGAGTCCAGGAAGGCACCGCAGAGGGGAGGGTGAAAATCCGGGAAAAAAATAAAATAAAATAAAATAAAATAAAATAAAATAAAATAGGAAAAGCCCAACGAGATCTCTTGATCGGCCGTGGAGCTGCAGAACTTTAGGTGGGACTCCGGAGCACCTGCCGTTGATGTGGCCCAACGATGGTTGCGAGAAACGGGTAAGGGGAGAAGCAGGCGGGGTAGAGCCACGGTTCCCGCCCTTCCAACCTGCACCCGCAGCCCTGCGTTAACCCGCGCTGGAGTACGCGAGCAAATCCTGATCCACGTGCCACTTTTCCTTCTACGGGCAGACCTGCCCTTTCTGCGTGGCCCATCGCCAGAACGGGCCACTCAGCATGTCCGGACGGCATAAACGGATAAAGACGCCTCCTCCCACTCCCGCCTCGTTGCAAATCCGCCACGTGTCCGCGTTTCCCAGTTTCGATTCAAAACTGCTGCTGTCTAACCGGGGCGTTTTAAGCCCTACGGAGCGGATCGTCTTGGAAGGTTCTGCTCTGTTCCAGGCGCGCCCTCTCCCCGGGGTAGTAGTTGGTTTCCGCCTTCCGGATAAGCCGCGTTTCTCAACCTTGGCAGTTTTCCGCTGTGTGGTCTTCAACTCCCAGAATTCCCCAGCCAGCAAGTTGAAGGCGGCACAGTTTAAAGCTGCCAAGTTGAAAAACACTGGTATATACAGACCCACATGCACACACATATATTACAATAAATTCAACGATTGCTCAAGTCAAGGAACTATCCCCTCCCCTAGAAGGGCATGCTCCATTCAACCCCTACATCACACAGGGGCACCCTTCTAGTTTCTGCCCTGGCTTTCCCACCCCCTGCCCACATGCTACAAATCTTCCCTTCCTGTCTCTTTATTTTTTTAACCTCTTTATGCTGTCGTGGAATAACATTATAAGCTGAAACTACAGAATCTGCTCTTTCTTGCTATAGCGTTTCCATGAACCTACAAAGGAAGGTCGAAATAAACAGGCAACTCACTCTCCCTAACACTTGGATGGTTGTGGCATCAGAGCCATGTCCTTTCCTTCAAGGGAAAAGAGCTTCTGCTGTTTTTCAGCAATTTCACTCTAGGAAATTGAGTACCAAATAGCACAAATTACAATGTTCAACAGGGAGCATTACTGGATTTAAATGAGTCTCAATGTTTCCCCTCTTAAGCCCCATAAAATGCCACTAGGCTATTTCTGAGGACCATCTGTGGTGCACATTAGTACTGTTTGAGAACTATTGCCTTTGAATAAATATGCAGTGATTCAGTCCAGATCACAACCAGCACCCACATCTAATGCAAGGAAACTTTCATTGGCTCCAGCACCATACATGTGTATCTGTGTGTGTGTATCTATACCTATATATATTAAAGTAATTAAAAACAAAAACCATCTACACTGAGGGAATTGAAGTAGTGGCCCTGATCTGGAGCAAGTCGTAAGTCAAGGATGTTTCTGTGAGTCTTTAGAAATCCATAAAGTGAATCAGAATGGCTTAAACCAGTTGAAGGTTCATCTTCAGAATGAAGGATATATACGGATGAGCCCATGCTTCTATGCACGTGGCCCTGTCACCTTGACTCTTAGTGCAAATTAGCCACTGCCACTTCCAGAGAGAACCATTTACATACCCACGTTCTTGTGTGGGTGGAAGAGATGGAAGGGGGATTCTTCTTCACAAACCTTGGCCATGTTATCTTATATTGCCAGTTGTTTTTTTCCCCCTCTGAAAGAAATTGTGGCAATCCTTTTGTTAGCTTGCCTAAGAAACATATTTTCAAAGATAACATCTAGCATAATAGACATTAATATCATATTTGCATAATTAATGGGAAGAAATTGCTAGGTTCACGCAATTCCAACATACCATTAGACACATCTCATACTAGGAACATATTGATGTGATGGTGTTGTCTTATTCTTAATGTGTGATTAACTACCCCTAAATAGTGTTATTCAAATTTGCAGAAAGATGGCACCTTTAACTTCTTACCACAGAGAGACACTGTCAGTTTCAGTTCCATGGGGGCTCATTTTATAGCAGGCTGTTATGACAGCAAAGGTGCCTAAACTTTTGCATAGAACTGTATGCATCATTTATCTGACTGTTTTGGCTGGCTGTGCTCAGTTTTTTTTTTTCCTGGCATGCTTGTTTTGCCTGTGTCTGTGCGTGAGGAGAGTGCAGTCACCTCTATGTGTTTACACATTTCTCTGACCATCCTCATGTTGCCATCATGTTTGTTCTTTATGAGAGCAAATGTCAGAGAAGAAACCCCTTTGCTTCGCTTCTGGGTCAGGTGACCTGACCTCTTCTATGAAAGAAATGTTGGAGCAGAAAGCCGTGGATTTGCAGTTTCAGACTGAGACCTCTCTTCTGCTATGTACTCACATTCTGGGGTAAGGTATATTTTTAGCACTTGGCCTTTTTGCCTATGGGTGCCTGCTGTTATAGCCCGTTTAGGCTACAATCAGAATATAGTCACTCTAGTCACAGTTGCCCACTGTGGGTGAATTTTGCTTCAGCATGGCTGTTACTACAACTCCCAGAATTCCCTCCCTGTAGGCAATCGCTTTCACGTTGTTTTTGTCAGCAACCCAAGTTCCCCTAGTTCACAAAGTCTTGGATGTTTCCTAGCCCCACTGTCTCTTCTATATTTATTAAACATTTATTCTTCTTCTATCTTTCGCTTAGTCCTAAGTGTCAGTTCATGTTTTCCATAAAGGGAATGATGGCTTCTGCCAGCTTGTTTGTGCCTCTTTAAAATAAATTTACAATGTCACTAAAAGAAAGTTGCCCCTCTCCATTACAGTCTTGTGCAATAGATCATCTTGTCCATTTCTGTGAAGCAGCAGCAGAATAGAATTGTCAGAGTCAAAGGGAACAGTGGGAGGAGGCTTTAACGTTAAACAGTTGAACTCCTTCTCCATGCCTGCCACTGAACTGCAGGTAGTAACATTCACTTGGCCTAGTTAGAACCTGGGTGGGATTCTTCTAAGGGAAGGATAGAGCTGCAGGCTAGGCTGGGAACTTGAAAAACATCCCAGAAGAAAAGCAATGGCAAACCACTTCTATCCTATTCCCAAGAAAACTGTTGATGTGTCCATGAGGTCACCAGGAGTTGAGCTTATGATTGAAGAATTGACCTTCTGCAAGATCCACTAAGAGTGATCCATTATTACAGCAATGAACTGTTCCCTGCTTAGCTGATGGCTGGGGGTCAGCCCCACTAGATAGACCAGATCAGGAGACCAATTCCACAGGGCGGCTAAAACTACTTTCATTGAGAGCGGCTGCCCAGAGTCACCCGTTGGGGGAGATGGGCAGCATGCAAATGTAATAATAAACAAAAAATAAATAAAGTACAGATTCTTGCAACACTGATTGTGCTGGATCTCCTCCTCCTTCGTACAGTTCAGTGAATTGGGGAGGTATCTCCCTGAGCTGCTTCTGAATGTTCTCTCATTTCTCATAACTTAAAAAATGTTTCATCCCTTTTTGCCTAGGGAATGGTTCCTGCATATTTTCATCCAGGTCATCTTCTTTATTCTCTACACTGGGAGACATTTGCAGGTGTGCTTTTACCTTCTCCCAGCAAAAATCAAACCTGTTACAAGAGAGAGGAGATTCCTTTCCTATTGTCAGACCCGAATCCTACCTCCCCTAATAAAATTACTAAGATTTTATTGGCAGCAATTTCCATAAGAAGATATAAGATGTCCTATTCTTGGAGCAAGGACTCTTGTTTACATTACATTACTGTTTCATTGCTTCCACTTTATTTGGTTGTTGTCACTGTATTTTATATTTCTGAAGGGGCAGTTTTCACAGGTAAGCTTTATAACGGGTTCAACCATAGCCTTGACCACACATATATATTTCTTATTAGTGTGATCTCTCTGCACTTTTAATATTTTGTCTAGATTTGTCAGAGACATTCTCCAAGTAACAGACTACTCTTTTTCATGGCTAGATTCACCATCCCTGTCATTTTTTTAGATAAAAAGATTTATCCTCTTTTAATACTGTTAATGCTTCTTCACCGCCTATTTGCATCAGGTTGGCATTGCCTGTGGACTTAATTTTAGGTTTTTTTAATATTGAGCAGCAAATTTTAGCACTCTTTTCTTTCATCTTCAACAAGAAATTCCTTAAAGTCTTCCTCATTTCCAGCCATCAAAATGGCGTCATCAGAATATCTAAGGCTACTTCTCCCAGCTATATTTTCAGTAGGCAGATGAAGTGGCCTAGTATGCATGTTTTTAAGTGCTATCCACAGTTTGTTGCGGTCTGCATAGTCAAATGCCTTAGTATAATCAATAAGGCAAAAATAGATGTCTTTGTGGAATTTCTTGCCTTTTTGATCATCTGCTGAATCTTAGCTGTGTGATCTGGAGTGCACCTCCCTCTTCTAAATCCAGCTTGTGCATCTGGTTGTTCCTGTTCAATATATTATTAAAGCATGGATTACAAAATTTTGAGCAATGTGTACAAGCATGTGATATAATAGCAGTTATTCAATAGTGTAATCATTCTTTACCTTTTTGTATCACAATATAAATTTACCTTTTCCAGTTCCTTGGCCACTGCTCTGTTTTACATACCTCTTTATAAAGCACAAGTAGCACTTACTGTAGAAGATTTAAAATAGTTCTGGCATTTCATCATCTCCTCCAGCTTTGTTGTTAGCAACATTGTCTGTTTTTTCTTCACCTTTACTGCATAACTATAGGGAATATCACCTACGTTATATCTTGTTTGTCTGATTATTTTATTTTCTTTAGTTTTGAAGGGCATTATTTTGATACACAATTTTATATTCTATATATACACAATTCTATATTTTA